TTACAAATAGAAAAAAATCACATGCAGTTGTAGTTCATGAAAAGTATTCAAATACCGAATGCCAAAAGCCTAACTAAGAAATAAATCAGCCTTTGATTACAAATGGATCCATGTAAGTCTTACGAAGTTGAAGAGAGGACTATTGGTGACGATGCGGACAAGAAGGATCCTCTAATTGATAATTTCTTGAGTGATTTTACAAAAGATGATTCTGGTAGGTGTTGTAATATATATAAATATCGAAATCATAAATATTCGTTTAGTTTGCAATCAGACGCATCTCCTTACCAAAATTCAAAGCGAAATTAAAGAAAAGCGCGAGATTTATTGATAGTTTTGGAACCGCCCTTCAGGCATTTCCTATATATGTACATACGTATGTACATTATGGTGGTCCAAAACTGCATGTGAAAAAGTAAAGTCGGAATTTGTATGCTCTCACCCTCTAGGATTGTTTTATACCAAAAAAAATATACCCTTATTTTATTATTTTGAAATCAAAAACTATTTAGAGGTCGCTCAAAGCGCCCAAAGTTTTCCATGTATTTTATATGGGGAAAACAACTTTCGTAGAAATGGTATAGAATAGTTGAAAATCAATATTTTTCTACCAGAATTCTGTTTATCTGCAGGAGATTGTTTATATAACCATTTTTTATTGCAGCTATATTTTTATAGGCCTGCCAAAAATCCACAACAACCCCAAAAAATGCAATGGGCGACCATTAAAATATCGTTAGTATTAAAAAATGGTTAAATAAACAATTGGGTATTATTATTGAAAGTCTCCTGAAGAGAACCAAGGTTTTCCGATCGAAAAATATTGACTCAAAAATTCTATAGCATTTCTACGAAAAAATTTATTTTCCCCAGATAAAAATACATGGAAATCTTTGAGCGCTTTGACCTCTAAATATTTTTTGATTTCAAAATAAAAAAATAGGGGTATACTTTTTTCGATATAGAACAATCCTAGGGGGTGAGAGCATTACCAGGTAGTTCTATTGTCACTTTTTCGTTATTAACAACCTGACAATTGAGTAGATTGTGACATTTCGTGCTACCATACCCAATATCTAAAACCCGCCAAATTTTGTTATTAATTGTTTGGTTTTTTACAAACATTTTGTTCTTAGAATCGAAATTTGAACAATCAAAAGGTATATTGTTGGGTATGGCTCGGTTACTTGTACAACAGTAATTTTGGGTTAATGTGTCCAAATGCTTAACCCAAAGCAAAAAAATTTTGACACACACATGTGGTCAAACAATTACATGTTAGTTTGAAATAAAGATTTCTAACTTTCAGAAACAAATTATTAAACAATTCTGCTGGTCAGCATAGCCGGAGTTGGACTTTCTCTGTCAAAATTCTAACTTTACGCAATTTTTTAATGGGTCCGTCTCCGCTTGCCCCCGCAAAACCATTGAACAAATAACCGAACATTTCTCCTTTCGTTTTTGAAATAGAAGAGGTCTAATGCTCAATAAGTTGATAATTGTAATTCTAGTTTTCATACTAACAATAAATCATCAATTTTGTTTCACTATCCTGGCTAGCTACATTGTGAGATAATCAGATGGCATAATGACACTAAAAAATTTTAAAATATGTTCACTAAAATTTTATTAATGTAAAAATAAAAATTTTGGCAAGTTGTTATCGAATTTAATGTAAAATTTGAATGTTTTTAAGAAAAGATATTCATTATTTTTACAGGGTAAATGTTAATACAACTATTTACTCCCAAATTTAGGATATAAAATCCCCTCTTAACGCCACTTCGAATTTTTTTGCAATTGAGCAATTCTTCTTTTTTGTATCGTGGAGCTAAATCTTACGAATTTATTTATGTAAACAAATTTACCCAATTTTTTATTTATTTATTTTTTTTTGAGTTCTGCCTTTTTTGGAGAGGGTATATCTATAAACATTCGGACTAATTTTAGAGTCAAAGAAGTCTTAGAATTCTGAGTTGTAACCCTCTTTATGAATTAAAAGAAGATGCAGTACAGAGCATAGTTTCCTTCTTAGAAGATCAAGCCAATACGAGTCCAAGTTAGGAGTCATATTAGAGTCTGAAATATGACGCTTTTCTGAGTCTTAAGATCAAATATTCTTTATAATTCGGATTCTGACTATTAATGATATTTTACTGCTACGTGAACTTTGTTACTTTTGTTCAACTCAGAATTTATGACACTAAAAGAGTCCGAAATGAGTCAGTCTGGTTGACCGGTCTCAAAATCATACTTATAACGAAAGAAAGACTCATTTTAGACTCATAAAATTTGAGCACTCAGAAATTGTTTAAAGGGATGTGATATGTACCTTAATCGTTGTGGGTATGTATCTGAGAGAACTGTTATACCTGTTTTTGTATTAATTGCATTGAATCTGTACGATCCACAAGCAGTTAAGTTTTCCTCTCTGAATTTTTAGTTAGCTCACTTTAGATCTAGGTGCGCGATATGTACGTCTAGAATTTTGTTTCTAATACGTAATCTTATTGCTCTTTTTTGTGATTTCAGAAGAAAAACATAAAGACAAGATATTTCTTTACTCTGCGATTGGAATTGTTACGCTAATTTTAGTTTCTTTTGTTTTACTGACTTGGTAAGTTCAAGCATAAGCTTTTTTTCTTTCCTTATTGCTGAAAGCTTCATATTTTCAGTTTAATTTATGCTTGCTTACGCTGTAAGAGACATTGTAATCAATACAAATTGCATTGCGAGGGGAAGTGCCAAAAATGTTTTCGTTGGATTTTTAGTATTTTGCTGCTGCTTCTTTTACCTTTGATTCTGTAAGTATATATATGTCCATATGCTTGCTGCTAAAAGCTTTGTGCCATTGTCATATGAACGTTTTAAAGTAAAAACTGGAGATTAACTTTGGCTATTTAAAAATTGAACATAATTTAAACCTGAGCTTTGAAATATGGATAGCGAACGACGGACGGATAAAAGTTTGCTACGATCATTGAATGGTAATAACCTGGACAATAAAAAGTAAACACTTTTTAAATTTCTTGCAGCCGGTTTCACCAGCAATTTAAATGGAAAAGGTTTTTTTATTTTCTGTAAAATAATTTTCCACTTAAATTGCTTTCGTGAAATTGGCTGTTAGTTGTTGACTACCTTCCAAATTTTATATCCACTTTCAAATGCTTTATATACTACCGGTATCTCCAAAACAAAATTGACAAGGGATTTAGGAAATTAGTACCAAAATAAATCAGCTCTATATATTATCCACTTTTTCATTGTTTTTGTTATGTGTACAAAAATCTATGTCCAGCTTAAATGACCATAAATATATGCCCAGTTTAAACGACCATAAATTGACGCCCAGCATAAATGACCATTTATGTCTAGTTTAAATTACCATAAATTTATGTCCATTTTTGAATCAACGAACATTTATGTCCAACTTTTAAGATAGCCAAAAATGTATGTCCAACTTTTAGGATGACAAAAGAGTGATGTTCACTTTTTAGATTAACAAAAAAAATTATGTCCAATTTTCAAATGACCATAAGTTTATGTCCAACTTTAAGATTACCAAAAAGTGATTACGTCCGGTTTTTTACTTTCAAGCGTTGATGAACTCTGCACTTTTTATACCCGAGCGCACTTGTGCACAAGGGTATATTAATTTTGTTCACATAACGGTTGTTTGTAACAGCCAAAACGAATCGAGATAGATATAGACAAATGTATACATAAATGATCAGGATGAAAAAAGAAATCGATTAAGCCATGTCTGTCTGTCCGTCCGTCTGTCCGTCTGTCCGTCTGTCCGTCTGTCCGTCTGTCCGTCTGTCCGTGTACACGATAACTCGAGCAAAAATTGAGATATCTCAACGAAATTTGGTATGTAGGTTTCCCTTAATCCAAGGTAGGTTGGTATTGAAAATGGGCGAAATCGGACTTTAACCACGCCCACTTCCCATATAACGGTAATTTCCAGAAATACGAAAACTGCGATATTTTAGTAACTACTGAAGATAATTCACTCAAAATTGATATTTACAATAATTTTTAGACGAAAAATAAGAATATTATAAATTTTTGGAAAATGGGCGTAGCCACGCCCACTTATGGTTACATGTGTATATCTAGGTAACCGCTGCCCCAATTTCTTCCAAACTTGGCACAGTTGTTGGCCTTCGCATAACATACCAAATGGCCGAAAATTTTTAAAATCGCTCAATAACCACGCCTATTTCCCATATAACGGTAATTTTCAGAAATATGAAAACTGCAATATTTTAGTAACTACTGGAGATTATTCACTCAAAATTGATATTTATAATAAGTTTTAGACGAAAAATAAGAATAATATAAATTCTTGGAAAATGGGCGTAGCCACGCCCACTTATGGTTACATGTGTATATCTTGGTAACCGCTACACCAATTTCTTCCAAACTTGGCACAGTTGTTGGCCTTGGTACAGCATAAAAAACCGCCGAAACTTTTTAAAATCGGACAATAACCACGCCCACATCCCATATAACGGTAATTTAGAGAAATACAAAATCTTCGATAAATCATTAAATATTGAAGCTCATTTTTTCAAAATTGATGGTTGCAACAATTCTTTACCAAGAAATGCGTTTATGGTAAAATTTTGGAAAATGGGAGTGGCACCGCCCACTTATGATCACATATAAGTATACCGGTAACCGTTCTACCAATTTGTACCAAACTCGGTATGGTTATTGTACTTGCCACGTGTAAGCAAAACGTTGAAAATTATTGAAATCGGACTAATATAACGGCCGATTCTCATATAACGGTAAATTTAAGAATTGCTTGAAACTTCAATATTTCGAAATTGAAGGACGCTAATTTACTCAAAATTGTTACAACTCGGCTTACCATCTAGCGGAAGGTTTCGGAAGGGTGAAAAAACATATATTTAATACTTGCGCCGGGTATTTAATGTTCGGCTCCGCCCGAACTTAGCCTTTCTTACTTGTTTTTAGATATTTTCTTGCGAATGCTATTGATTCGACACTTAAAAATCGGGAATTTGAGAAAGAGCATGAAAGCTCTTATGAAAGAAGTACACCAGAAAGTTCTACAAAGCTGCGAAGTATTGAAAAAGCACTCGTTACTGACTATCACAATTTTCATGTCGCTGCCTTCCGTTCTGTAGATGGTAAGCGTGATATTTAACTGCTACATACATACATTTATTTCTAATAACATTAAATTTTGTCAAACAAATGTATGTAGATATCATTTCAAGTTCCTCCCAGCGTGCTAAAAAGGATCTGGATTCTGATTTGGATAGCGTTTGTGGTACACCAGCAGCAAGACAGCAGTTAAATGAAACCGTTTCGAATATGCAAAATGATATCGATGAACTTTGTTTAGAGATTATTATGGGGAATGATTGTATGTATTTTCAGAAAGTTTTGTTTTTTAATAAAAAATGCTCATTACGCTCTTAGTTACACGTGCCATTTTTCGGAATATGACAACATTTTTGGCCCAAACGAAAGAGGGTCGTGCTTTCTATTCAAGATCGAATTTTATAAATTCAGATAGCCAGTGGATGCAAATGTCAACGGTAAGTTATTGGGCTCTATACTTTTTGTTTTTTGCATAAAGCTTCAGAAACTTCTCTTTTCCAATTTAGTTATTTAAAATGAGTGAATTACTTCGCTTAATTGGGAATATCGTGAATAGCACCGAAGAGGTCTACAGCCAATCAAATATGTTCACGAAAAATTTGGATGCAGTTGTAAAACAAGTACTGACACCATATTTGGACGAAGTGAATGATGATTTAGAAGAAAGAGGTAACATGCATAATCACTCGTTTTTATACCTTTCATGGGCATGAAATGGTATTATAACTTTGGTCCGATGTTTGTAAGTACCAGAACAAAAAGAGATAGACCCATTAAAATGTATACTTATATGATCAGAACGTCGAGCTGAGTTGATTTATCCATGTCCGTCTGTCCGTCTGTCCGTCTGTTTGTATGCAATCTAGTCTCTCAGTTTTCGAGATATCCGGATCAAATTTGGTAGGTGGGCGTATTTTTATAATGTATTAATCATTTGTCGGAACCGGAAGAATCGGACCACTATAACATATAGGTCCCATACAACTGATTGTTCAGATATGAGATTTTTCGTTATAACTTTTCCATTTATGCAGCTACGAACATGAAATTTCGCAGCACTTGCACCCATTATCAACAGAATGCTTACAGTGAAAATTACAAAGATCGGGTCACTATAGCCTATAGCTCCCATACAACTGATTGTTCAGATATAAAATTTTTCGTTATAACTCCTCCATTTATATAGCTGGGAACAGGAAATTCCGCACTGTTTTCAATAATTATCAACAGAAAACTTACAGTGAAAATTAAAAAGATCGGATAACTATAACCTATAGCTCCCATACAACTGATTGTTCAGATATGAGATTTTTCGTTATAATTCATCCATTTATGTAGCTAGGACCATGAAATTTCGCGCTGTTTTCACTCATTATCAGTAAAAATAACGAAGATCGGGTCACTATAACCTGCAGCCCCCATACAACTGATTGTTCAGATATGAGGTCTTTTATCATAACTCCTCCATTTATGCAGCTAGGAACATGAAATTTCGCACCATTTTCACTCATTATTAACAGAATACTTACAGTGAAAATAACAAGGATCGGGTGACTACAACATATATCTTCCATACATCTGATTGTTCAGATATGGGATTTTACTGTAAAACTCCTTTATTTGAACAGCTAAAACCGATAAATTTCGTAAGATATTTTATAAATAATAATACAAAGTCTACTGAGAAAATCGTCAAAATCTATGCTGTATAAGCTTTATCTCCTATAGCACTGATTGTTCAGATACCAGTTTTTGCGATATATCTCCTTTATGTAGGAAACTAAACCCAATAAATTGTGTTACCGGTTTACATACCGATCACATAGCAGTGAAAATCACCTAGATTGGTGCCATATAAAGTATATCTTCCATACCTCTGATTGTTTAGATGCGATTTTTTATATAAGTATGTAACTCCTCCATCGATGTATGCAGATGTATTCAAAATCAGTAATCTGTCAAACTAAAATTTGCAGATGTTCATGAAAAGTATGAAGCCTTCGGCATAGCCGAAGACAGCGCTGCTCTTACTTGTTTTTTTTTTAATCTGGATCCTCTCGTGAATTTACATGAAAGGCAATACTCTTCGTGTACTTTCCCATAATTTGACGGACGAGTTTGCTGCGAATGATGCAAAGCTAAGATCAACCGATAGCTCCGACGAGGAACGCAAATACAAAGCAGCTCCCACGTGGGTCTTGATTTTCGAATGGCTATGCTTCGTTTGGATAATTTTGGTATGTTTCATTTAACTGAATTTATTTTTTAATAACTATAATATTTTGGCGCTTACACTTTTGCAAAGCGTTTGGCAGTGCTGCTTCTCTAATTTGTGGAACAGCTAACAGATTTTATGAGAAGCTTTTTCTTGGCGGAAATACACTCGGAGGTTTGGCATTGCCCGCCGAAGGTAGACCGCTGTTAGAAAAAAACATTTTCTAATTAGATGTTGCGCGCACCAGATATCGAACGCAGGTTCTACGGAGTGGTAGTACGCACCGCAAACCCCCTAAAAAAGAAGCATTGAATTGTTTAATATAAAAAAAGTCTTTATAAACATAATTTTATCACAATTCAATATGGCTGCAAGTGAGACCAATTCTCATTCATGTAGCCTCATAGCTATTGTCAACCTTATCCAACGCGAAAGCCCGCGATAATCGATCGGAAATTTCATTCGATAACCGTGCTTCTTCGGACTCCATTATAAAGGTGGGCAACTTTTGCCCACAATTTTCTACCACCAATTTCTGAACCAGGCTAAAACCTATATAACTCGAAAACGTAACAAGTGGTCCATACTGTAGGGCTTTACCCAATTTGTTTGGCAATGGAATTGATGACCTGTGTTCAAAACGAAACAGCTATCTATCAGACCATTCCCAATTTTTATTTGCAAAATCGCTGGTAACGCTATGTTCAACGTGGACGAAGGAGGTTCCATTAAGTAGTATTAACGTCGATGTAATTTTAATTCCGACGGGTAATATTCCTATCCGCAACAAGGTCGTCTAATCGATTGCCGGCGGCTCTTGCGACAAAGACCAAAAAACATTGCTGGTAACAGCATATACGGCAATTAAGCTTCCGGAGTTGGCATAAATACAGATCCACCAAAGCACTACACTCCGTACAGCAACAAGATGTCTTCTGAAGTCACCTTAATACTACCTTCATAGTGAGGAAAACTTGCTCGAAGTTAAGTAGCGTAACATTGGGTTCAGAAAGCTTTTTCTGGTTTTTGCCTCCCTAGGAATCGCGTAAACCGACACATACTACGTACTTCAGCTCGAGCATTTTGACAGACTAGTCAAACGTGCCTCCACACCCATACATTCAGACTATGTAGACAGTTTGTAGGCAAGCGTTGAACAACATTCAATGAGAATGCCGTAATCGGAGTTCAACAACTACCTGTGCTGTGTGTGTGTGTGTACCTCGTGAGTCTGGTAAAACTCTTACTTATACCAAACGTAGCCTCAGGCTTACCAGACGCAGGTCTAGTTTACGAAGAAATTCCACGCGATACTAACCATTACCTCTTCTTGAACGCACTTAGCCGTTGAAGCCGCACGTTTCCTGGGCCTACGGTTATTCGATCTGGTGACAGTCAATTAGCCTAATAAGTCCTCTGTTGTCGGAAACCTGGTTTAAGAATTAGTTGTAGGACTTAAACCGGATCAACTGCAGATCCCGAGATAATTCAAAATTAACTGGTTGATTCGGGTTGAGACGGGAGACGCTGCCGTCTGCCTATGCTTTTAGAGAACTTCCCTCAATTTTGTAGATAACTTCGCGGTCAAAGTAGCGATTATTAAATATTAAATATTTTAAACCGATCTAATCTTATTCTTGTTTGACGTAAATAATATGAAGCTTCTGCAACTTTTCACAAATTTTAGCATCTGTGAATAAATTAATATTTCACCTATCATTACAGATAGTATTTATCTTACTGGTGGCATTGATATTAAGATGTTGCGGACAACGCTGGAGAGGCGAGAGTGAACGTGAAAGAAAAAGAAAATGCTGCAGTCAGCAGTGTGGTTCCTCTTTATTCCAATTGTATGTTGATCAATTATGCACTTTAACGCTAAAAAAATATATTTCCTTTTTTTAATTACACTTTAGAACAGTCTATATGATGAGCTTGTTATTTCTGCTCGCTCTTCTACCCATATGGTGGAATTACGAACATGGTGTGGGCGCCTACAATGAACGGTGCACATGGGAGAGACTTGAAAGAGCTCAACAATACAGATATAGACGATCCGTAAGTAATTTGGGCGCTGAAGCAACTTCGAACCTATCTGCTTCAGAAACAACGGCTTCATTGACCAAAGCATCGGACGCGTTAGCATCTGCAGATAGACATCAATCGATGAGCGAAAGAGCTGAAGCCGATGATGAGGCTGGCGATACAGCTGAAGAGCCTGCAAATATTTGTCGAAACCGGGAAAATAATGCATTTCTGGCGTCAAATGCTATGAAAGTGGGAAACAGAATGGCACCATCACTGAATATCAGCGAAGCAACTATGGAATTGGAAGCTAAATTTACAAAAATGTCGCCAGTCAAGGAAAAACTTAAGCGAAACGCAATATATGCCGATGAAAGTTCGTTGCAAGAAATCTGTAATGATTTCAAAATTCAATTTGACCTGAAGGAATTTATAAGGTATTACAATGAAATGAACTCATTTGTAAGTAACGAAATGAAAAATCCAAGAGAGGATTTAGAACTTTCACATTGTAATTTGTATGTGCTAAAGAAGCATTTGATAGATCCGTTTGATAATCATGAAATACCCAAACTCATGGCACACATTGCCGAGCAATGCAAACAGATTGAAACAAATTTTGAAGAAGGATTCCGCAAAGGCACAGAAAGTTGCTTGACGGAGGTGGAAAAAATTGAAAGATTTTCAAAGGACAAACTGGTTGGCGTGTTGAATGACACTACACAAGATTTGGATGAAATGTTTGTGAATGGTTTGAAGAATTACCGATCATTTGCCAGTGAAGAACTAAGTAGAGCAGTCTATACAACCAATAACGATATTGAACGGTATTCTGAATGTGTGCAGTATGCGCATGGCAAGGTAAGCGTTCAACACTTAGGGTACGTTCACACAGAAAGCGGAGCCGAGCGGAGCGATGCCGTTCCGAGCAAAGCAGTTTAAGATTTTGAATTATCTATTTAATTTTTATGTTTCATGACGCTGCTGCAAACAAGATATCAAAATATTCAAATCAAAACGAATTTTACAACGAATCTTTTAAATAAAAATGAGCAAATATTTTTACCGCTTTTCATTGACGGTAAGTTTTGTGGTATATTTGCAGCAGAATCCGTTAGAAAAGCTGCGCTTCGCTCCATTCAGTGTGAACACCAGCAGCTTCGCTTTGTTCCACATTGTTTCGCTCGGCGCCGCTCGGCTTTCGGTGTGAACGCACCCTTATTGTAATCAACCTACTTTCCACTCATGGCCCTACAACTGCTTTTCGGGTTGGGTTTAGACCAATAATTTCGCCAATTATTATTATTATTATTTTTTTTTTTCTGACCCTTTTTGCACATGGTCATTCCATTTTGTTCCAATGCGTCCTGGTTCTTGTCGTCCACTCATAATCAAGGTTTCTGCACTTTGTAAAAAATCGTCCCTGTTGGCAAGAGTTATACATCGCTTAATCTTTAGACGCAAACTATGGATGGTGTAAATATTGGTTCCATGCCTCGTTATAAGAACAATCTTTGATTTTTGTCAGCTCGTGTAAAGTTAGCAAGCGCTTTTTAGCGTTTCCCCATATGAGTTTCGGAAGATCTCAAATTTAGACATGACTGGTTAAAGAAGCTGAGGTAACTGGTAAACGAGGACAAGACAAAGTTTCTCCTGTTATCAAACAAATCGTCAGTTGTGAACCAGCATTAAGACCGCTAATAATGTCAGCATCGAAACCAAGGCGCATCAATTACAGGTGATAGCGATAGAAGCTATGCTTCTTCTTATGAGCACGCTTGTGTCAAATTATCGTCTGTTTTGCTATATTTACATATCCGCGTACACATACACATATACGTATATATATACCCTGCAAACAAATGCTCCTCAAATCTTTAAGAGTGTCGGAAATTTGTTACGATTCTTTTAGAAATCTGTAAAGAAAAACATATGAGGCGGTTGACAAGAACTAGTAAAGAAATTTCTGTACGATTTCTTAAAGAAAATTCTTAAAAAAATTGTGAAACCTTTCAGAATTCTATGAAATCCTGGTATGCAGGGCATACATATACACACGAATATGAATAGATAAAAAAGATGGTGATGACACAAGGAGTTCATACCAACGGTAAATGTTGTTTTTGTACGATTGCTACAACCTGTAGTTGTTGAATCATGATCGAAACCCAACGCAGAATCATCATGCCCGTGCTGGCGTATGGATGAGCTGTATGAGCAACTCGAAATCCGCTGTTGGTAGCAGAGGAAGAGGAATGCCTACACTGAGGTGCAAAGACCAAATGGAAAAGGACTTGGTAGTTCCAATTGGCACAGAAGAGAAACGACTGCCGTGCTTCGTTGAAGCGGTTACAGCGCCAAATAATAAGGCGAATAATAGGTCGGTGTTGCATTTTTCAGGTGTAGTAAGCTCACTCAGTTGGTGCACAAACTGCTTCAATCTTACATACACTATCGTCGTTAAGTCCCTCGTCAACGGCTTTGAATAGTTCATCAGCTGCGGCATGTATATTGCCGACTTCGGGGGACTTGTTTTTATGCTGCTCTCACTTCGCTCTGACTGAGCAGAGGTACGTGAGTATCGTCCCTATTCATTGGTCTGGGTTCTTCTTCACCAAAAATGCTACTATAGGCGTCTGTTACTAGATTACCATATTATTCTCTGCAGCCATCTTATTAGTATTCTCAGTGATCAATTGCGATATCCTTATAACAAAATTTGGTGCCAAGTGAATGTGTTATTATTTCGTAATAATAAATCATTTAATTTTCTCATTTCAGAATGGCATTTGGATACCGTTATTTCTAATATTGCTCTTGTTCTTGCCATTAATACCGATAGCCATATATTTGAGTAGACTGTACTCATGCGCTGAAAGAAGAACGGAGTGTTACTGCTATGAAGAGCGCCTATATAATGCAATAAGAGATCGTTTGTATAAAAGAAGCCGTGAAATTGAATCTTAAGCCAGGACACACGTTAGACCGTGAAAAGATTCTCCTCAAATTCAACGTAAAATACAAAGTCATACATCTCGAAGACAGCGCGTAACGAAAGTTCCGCTGCAAACGGAATTGGATGAAATGAATCGGCACGGCACGCAAAAACCCAACTGCAAAGTAAAATATAGAATTAAAATAGGCATCTTCTCAAAACCGAATACTTCAGAATTATCTTGAACTTAGTTCGTTATACATACCGACGGCTGACGCCCTATCTCAGAAAATGGCTCAAGAACGCCCTACTTCAGTATTTGGTGGAAGAACGCTCTATCTCAGAATTTGGTTCAAAAATGTCTTATCTAAACTGAAAATGTATTGTTAATCTGTCTGTATTTAAATCCTGTAAAATGTTTTGTAAAACCTGAGTTTCGCCTAAAAAAAAAATTCATCCGAAAATTTGTGGGCGGATGACAAACAATGAAAACCAAAAGTGAAAAGTGAACCGGTTTGGGGAAAACGAAACTCTTGATTGGCTTAATATGTTGATATAGGTCATTTTTGAACCGAATTATGAAATAGGACGTTCATGAAAAATTTACTGAGATAGGGCGTTTTCGAACCGACTGCGGAGATTGGTCGATCTTCCACTCTGGATATGTAGGTATTTGTTTTGTTTTTAGCTATTGTAGCTCTTAAAGCAGAATGAATAAGTTTATGAAATGAAAGTAAATAAATAAATTTTCCTGGGTCTGAATTTCAGACTCTGAACTTGTTTAATCCCCTTTACATATTATTTGCCCCTCTGCGCACTAGGAGAAAATGGACACTAACCATAGCCTTTCGAGCCATTAGACACAGGGTGCCCCAGAGCTCTTAACCTCATTTTTGGCGATGAAAAGATGATGACATTAGAGTCGGATGTTCTTGTTGGAACAGCATACAAATTGCGCGAACAGTTTTAGAGGAATGGTGCTGGGTGAGACACGAATAGATTGCGCGGGTATTTGCAATAATTTAAACGATTCTACCACAATTTGCAAATAGTCAAATTACAGTACATTTTGCATGTATAAATTTCCGTATTAAACGGAAGTTAATATTTTGTATTTTGTAAGTGCTGCCATATATTTCTTTTGGCTAAAGGCCAGATTTGTAATAAAAACTTCTCGACTCCCGATGAATCATTTAAGTTCCGTAAATTCCTTGTTAGGCTATTTGAATGTATTTATTTCTAGTCCTATTTTTTTATGACATTAGTTGATTAATTCCTTCGCAAAAAAGCAGCGAAGGGCTCTCAATTCACTAAAAAGACGCCTGTCAGCAAATGAAAAAATTTGCCACTAAATGTAAAATAAATTGTTGATGGCATCACTGCCGCGACTAAGTTCATTACCCAACACTGGCGGATGAACTTAATGGCTTGCTAGATCAGGGTTTTGTGATTTGGATTTTGGAAAGTTGTTTTTACTTGATTTATTTTACTACAACTGTACTTAAGGCCGATTACTCAATGTCTGGTTAACACTAATCTCCGGTTAAACATAGTAATCGACGTTACCGACTCCCTGTTGTATGCATGGAGTCGAAGACGTCGATAACGATGTTTAACCGCAGATTAGTGTTAACCAGACATTGAGTAACCGGCCCTTAAATTCTTATTATATGTTGATTAGTTTAAGAACTAAAAATTTTGTGTTCTGTATGTAAAAATCGTAGGTTAAATAATAAGAATAAAATTTCGCAGTTAGCACAACGCTTCGGCAACGCTAGCATGGAATGCGTTGTTGAATGCAGTGTTGCCAACGATACCATTTATAGCTAAATAAATTTTTTTGATTTATTTGCTTTTCAAGTATTGGCCCTCATGCATAAAAGTGAGCTAAGATTCGATTCGATTCGATCAGTGCAAAAACGGGGCCGGGCTTAGGCTCGCTTTTTATATATAAGGCCAAACGTCTTGTCTCATCTCTTCTGTCATGCTGACAGCCTTAAAGCCGTTGCCCTATTGATTGTAAAGTAAGCATAGATATTTGAGTAAAAAGTTCTTTTGTATACATGTAATAATAACAAGAACGCTTTCAATTTAAAAAACTCGCAGAAAGCATAGAGTGCGAAAATAAAAAGTCGTCGAAATCTTTCAGCCTACAAGTTTCGTTTACAGGTCTATTCTGTACGTTACCGGAGATTGTGTAACCGGAAAATTTTATTACCAAAAATGTTACCAGTTCTTGTCACCGCGATTCTAGGAACGTTGGTAATGCAGTTAAGATATACAGCAATTCAGCTATGAAAAATCGTGCAAATTCTGGCATTGCATATTTCACGGGGCAATACTTTGTTACCAGCTTATGAGATGGTAACAAAATTTACCGGTTACAAGAGTACACAGAATGCAAAAAGGGTTTAAAAATTGACAGGAACTTTATTTACCGGCTACAAACTTTTTATTACCAGCGCAGAATAGACCTGTTAGAGTCGAGGCTAATGTTAAGGCTACTTAACATAATGCAGCGTACAAGTGTTTAACTATGAAAAAAGGCGCAAACAAAAAATGTTAACAAAGAAAGATGCATACAAATATTTGCCGACGATGGAAATCGCAAACAAATAATAATGCGATCTCCGCCGTAAATTATTTTAATGCATCTTCTTTTGACAACATTTTTTCACGTGACTTTTGGTGAAAATATTTATCACATACAGCTAAGTTTCTAGATCAAGGTATAAACATTGTGACAGCCCAACATTTTTCTTTATAATGTTTTAAAAATTAAATATCTACTCTACAAATTAATTAAAGAGATTTTCGCGTTTTAAAATGGGTAAAACGGGGCGTCTTTCCAAGGGGAATGTTTACTGCAGCTTGAAGTTGGCAACACTGGTTAAATGAACGCAAATGGGAAAATGACAGTTTGCAGAAAATGAATTTTTTCGTTTTCAGTGGAAGTTCTTGTTTCGATTGGGGAAGTCGTCTTTTGTTGAGTGATGTGGGTGTTTTCCGCGGCGTGGATGTGAAAGTTTCTTGTGTAAACTGTTTATTGAAGAAAAAAAGAATGGTTTAAGACAAAAGGTGAATCATAAATATCCAATTAGTTGCAAGCACAATGTGTAAATTTGTTTATTGTGTTTTTCATATGCCACAAAATGTGTTTTAACATGATAAAATGGTGATTCTTGAAAATGTTTGCGCTATGCTTTAATGCAATACATATGCAAATTGATTTTTCCCCTATTTGGCATTTGGTTGGTAAACAAGTAAAAGCAAAAGCAAAAGCAAAGGCAATAAAAATTGAGAGGAAGTGTCTTTGTGCTGCATAAAAAACGCATGAATTTTAATCGCACATAAAATAAATAAAAGTATTTTCCAACATTAAAGTCTGTATGTATGTATTATCGTAGAATCTTTTCTGGTTGCATGGATATGTGTACATACATATTTACATATGCATATAGATATGTAAGTAGAACGAAATATGTTAGCTGTCGTGCGTACTTGTAGTTATAGTGACCCCCAGCATAGCTTACTGCAGTAAACATAATGAACACAAGAAAAACTAAAAATTTACACTCAAAAGTGTGGATAATTCATAACTAATCTTCCACTGTGGGTATGTCCTTTTATCCAGTTGCTGGCTTACTTTTTCTACAATATTTATTTCCATTATTCGGTTCTTTTGTAAATTTAAGAACGTGAGTGTGTTTGATAGTTTTTCAAATAGGATCAAAATTCTATCAGATATATATGTATGTGCGTGACCTTTAATAGATTACACCTGGATTTGAAAGCTGAAATTACGGCGGCGGATACGGATTCGGCACATACATATATATAGCATAAAATATTTTTTAAGCCATTGGGGGTCAATATTTTTGGCCAAAACCTAGATATTTCGGCGTACATATGTGGTCTTTGGCAGTTATTCATATTAACGCCCAACGGACCAACACCGACTTGGCATTCACAGAATATTTGGGTAGAACGTCCTACATCACTACTCACTGGAAACAGGAAAAATATATATTAATTTTGCCATATATGTATGTATGTATATGTTCATAAATATCTCCTACTATCCATGGTCTCCTTTGTATTTAATATTGCGCTCGTGTCTTCCCCACTTGGTTCTTCTCGACCAGACTTGCTGTGTAGCAGTTGTGTGTGAATGGAACCACACTATGGCGTATCTTCGGATTGCAGCAACGGAAGTAACCCATGCAATATCTGAGGTTGCATTATCAAGTATTTTGAAATACATATGTATGTATGTACATATGTATGTAGGTACATATGAATGTATGTACCAATAAATGTTAACAAATCTTTGTTAACAGAATGGGACAAATAGTGATTGTCCCTTGATCAGTTTAGATAACAAAGTAATTGAACTAATTAATCTCAAGATGTTACATTTCAACGGCTGTGTGGAAGCTCGACCTATCTCGACAGCCGGTTCGAAAACGCCCTATCTCAGAAAACTTTTCAATAACGGCCTACTTCAGAATTTGGTTGAAGCTCGTACTATCTCATTACTCGGTCCAAAAACGTCCTATCTGAGCTGAAAATGTATTGGAAATGTGCTGAGTTAAGGCGTTTTTAAATCGGCAGCGGAGCTAGGCTGTTTTGAATTCTGAAAAAGAGCGTTCTTGAAAAATTATCTAAGCTAGGGCATTTTCGAACTGGCTGCCGAGATAGGTAGATCTTCTACTAAGCCGTCGATATGTACATATCGCACGTTTAATAATGTAGAGATGTAACTCAAAATTTACGTTTTTGAAGATTTTATTATGTAATTAACCAGGAATCTAATAAGAATATGTACAGTCTAACAGATAACCAAACTTCCCAAAATTGGCGAAGATATGTGTCTTTCCATCTTTCTTTTTGTATACCAACTGTATGAAATGATAAAACTTTGATAGCGTTTTCCCACAAAATGGAAATTTTGAATTACTTCGTTGTATCATTAAACGTGCGCTATATGTGTACATACATTTTGCCATGGTCAACCAATTAGCGCACCTGCACCCCAAAGCCAAATCCGCTAAAAAATCGGGATGAATATACATTCTTTTATCATAAAAATTTTTTGTTAACCTTTTTCCTTGCTTGTTACTTTATTCAACCAATATGAAAAATGTTGAATATAATTCACCGATAAATCTCTAACTGAATAACTGACTATCCATACAAAATGCCTTGGTCACCCATATAGCTTAATTCGCTAAAGCAATTTCGTGACCATTTAAGAGGCAACATTTCAAATCAAAATTTATGTTAAAAAAGTACTAAAGTGCTTCTTCAGTATTTTTTTATTATATTGAAGATTTTTATTTACTGCGTTACCCATCTTGATCTAGATACTGGTACCAGAATTCCAGGACAACGTGCAAATTAAAAAAAAGTGTGCGTTCATATTTTGTAAATAACGTCAATTAATAAAATTAAGGTCAAAACTCTGCGCTGCCCCCTTAAGCAAGGAGGTATGGATATTGCGTTAAAATGACTCAATTTTATTTTTGGTTATTTAATGAATTCTCGATTTACGAAACCCCGAAATACAGAATCCCGAAAGACATAATCGAGACACGGCCAAATCCCGAACAGACATAATTCAGACACGACCAAATCCCGACCATACATAATCTCTACAAAACACAGTCCATACAAGAAATCCCGACAAAAAAATAAAATAAAAATAATTAAAAAAATCGCGTGATTTTTTTTTTAAATTATTTTTATACCTATTTTGTCGTTTTTTTTCATGATTGAATTCTGTTTTCACTCAAAAATAATGCATAAAATCAGGGTTCGTATTTGCACACACATGCTCTGCTCACACACACGCCAGAAACACATTCAACTTGTACTCACTGCTCATACACATGTGTGTGCATAAGTGGAAAACAAACTCTGCTCACAGAAAAGTGTGTGCTGTTTGTTATTAAGCACATGCACATGTGTGTGAGCCGATTTTTGTACAAATTTCAGCCCATGCACATGCACATAATATATTTTTAAAAGAATTTGTTTATTAAACGTTATTTTTTGAAAGACAATTCAATAACAAGTGAGGTGTTGTTTGTTTTTTATATGACAGAAAACATATTAAAAAATTATTTTAAGAATTGAGATAGAAATCGAAGTGTATAAGTTTCTCTACGCAAAGCACACACATGTGCGTGTGCTTTATATTAATAAAAAAAGAAATGTACACACATGTGCCCGTGCTTTTTACCAAACAGCACACACATGTGATGTGAGCAAGTTTTTAATTTTTTATATGCACAGCACACGTGTGTGAGCGTAAAATGTTAGGATGTGCTGCGCATGTGTGTGCAAATACGAACCCTGCATAAAATACATGGTTGCTGTTGTAACGTATTTGTCCGCAGACTCAACTAACGGTAGGCCCAGGAAACATGATATTTCGACTTTACTTATTTTGGACCACCCCATTGTACTCTGTAAATGCCGTTAGTAGCCTGTCTGTACAGTCCCAGTCCCATGAGTGCTGTACGTAGTATTGGATCTGGTCCTTCAGCTCAAGCAAGTTCGGGTGCTGACGTATGTAGCACCCTGCTAGGAACTGCTTGCTGAGAATGATGTTGTGCCCATTCGTCTTCACTGTGGATGTGAAGTTCTGGCGACATCAGAAGGCACCCCGTGGTTGTCCGGGGTGTTGTATTGTGGCATGTCTGTAGTTTCGGCCCCTACGTACCAATTGTCTCCGGGGAGCACACAGGCGATGCATAATTTAGAACCAGACTGCCAATTGCTTTGTTTGTTTGCAACACCGTTTCTTTATCTTTAACCAAGTACTGCCGAATTGGGGAATTGAGGACTTTGCTACGGCTCGTACTTTGTTGGTAATTTCGGTTGTATGCGCCGCGAAAGAGAGCTAGATCTGACAAATTTCCAGTTATTCACCGTCTTAATTGGTTTGCCATCGACGAGAATACGCAGCTTTCGTCCTTGTGGTAAAATGGTTGCCGAGGATTTTGAAGGGCAGAGGGCTAGGCTTCTTGCAGTGAAGAAGCGAAAAACTGTGGCGTAGTAACCGTTTATATTTAAGCATAAGTCCTAAACTCCATTGCCGGGCGCATTGTAATTTTTTTAATCTGGATTTCGTCTTGTCGTGGGTTTACATTTGTCGGGCGTTTGTCCTGTCTGAATAATGTGTTATCTGTATTTTATTTGGTCTGGATTTTGTTATGTCTGTATTGTTTGGGTTATGTCTTGATTATGTCTAGATTATGCCTTGTCGGGATCTTTAAAGTCGGGATTATGGAGTGCGCTCTATTCGGATATCTATACAGTATGCGGATATCCGCATACTCCACATTCTGACATTAGATAGGCATTTATCCAGCAAACATGCCAGTTGCCAGTTCTATGCACGGCGACAGCACATGTCATCTCATCAAGCATTACGGCGGTGAAAGAACACAACATTTATATAAAAAAAAAATGGACTTAGCAACTTTGCACTCTAAGCCAGCGCTATGATAAACATACATATTTATGTATGTATGCAAATCTACAATGTTTTCATCTTCTTTCGTTATTGTCAAATTCGTGGAAACCTCTGCTCTATATGTATTAGAAAATACTCCGATTTTATGCCTATAAGTAAGGAGTTTTTTTTTAGCACAAACGTGGACAAACAAATTTGTTGCGTCAGAAATGTTGTTTTTTCGGCGGATAAATATTTATTGTCAGAATAACTTCCGCTTTTTTGCCGAAAAAGAACCCAAATTGTGCGGAATTTGTTTGCATGAACCCAACAATAAAAAATAAACTTCGCAGAATTTATTTGCCAAAAAATTATATCATCTTATTACCTAATTATTTTTATTTTTACGTTAACACTTTGATGTTCAAGGTTACTTATAAAACAAATTTACAATTTTAGTAATTAGTAATAATCGAAATTTTTCTCAAATAATTTACTTAACAAAAAAAAAAGAAACATTTTAAAAACATTTGTGTTACATTAAAAACGTGATTTACGTGAAATATAAAAGAGTTTTTTTTTTGTTTCAAAAGCCCTTACTGCAACCATCGCTGCT